GTCTTCCGCCCTTGCTCTGCGTCCAGTGTTCACTCCCAGCCAGAGAGCCCATCTCTGACGTGGGCTGGAAATACTTTCCGCAGTCTTTGCTGGTCAGGAGAACTCGGAGCCTCCTGTTCTCCGGGTACATTTCAGCTGACCTTCAGGGTGAGCGGCGGAGGCTGGGAGTGCTCCTTCTCCAGCTTCCGTCCCCGCCTCTCTCGGGTGTTCTCACTTGCTCCTTGTTAGCGGAAGGGGTTCAAGAACCTTGTCTGTCATTTATTCATCTGATCATCCATGCATCAGTCTTTCCATCCGTTTGTCCACCCATCCACCAACCCGTCCGTCTGTCCACCCATCCATCCACTCACCCGCCCATCCGTCTACCCACCCATCTATCCGCTCGCTCATCCGTCCATCCATCCATGTGTCCTTCCATCTATCCATACGTACACCCGTTCACCCATCCATCTATCCACCTATCCACCTGTCCATCTGTCTGTCCACCCACCCACCCATCCATCCACCCATCCATCCACTCATCCGTCCATCCATCCATGTGTCCATCCATCTATCCATACGTACGTCCACTCACCCATCCATCTATCCACATATCCATCCATCCATACATACATGCATATATCCATTCACCCATCCATCATTCCATCCATCCATCCGTCTTTCTATCCGTGGCATGAGTGTCTTAATCTTTCTACATCCTTGCTTGTCTTCAAGTGTGTTTTCTGTTAAACGTTATATTGGGCTTTTGGATCCTGCTTCCTAATTATGACAATTTAGAGTTAGCACCCTATGGCTGGTGAAAATTCTCACCATTCCTGTGAACATTTTGTCAATTTTCGTCGCTTTTCTGCTGCCTTCGGTGCTTTTGTAAGGAAATGATGTCTCAGGACGGATGTGACAGCTAGCGCGTATTCGGAGCCTGAGTAGTTGACAACGTGGGTGTGTTCTGTTTTGTTTGCTTCTGAAGAAGAGTGTGAGCTGTTATGTAACTGTATCGTCGTACCATTTTCCCTGTCACAACTCTTGTCCATCGCATTTCATGTTTTAGCAGAAAATAACAATTTTTTCCAGGGTGGGAGTGGGTTTCTGGGTGTTACATGTTCCTGGATGTCAGTTTAGAAAGTAAACACTTCTGTCTGACACCTGGTTCTCATGTTCATCTCTTCCCATCACATTTCACTGCCAGACCCTTTCCGAGAGGTATTTGGAAGTCTGTCTACAGCTGCAGGCACTTTTCTCGTATTTTACTTCCAATGGTGTTTTTTCCATTGTGTGTGTTTCTTGTACTTGTGGGGCCGACTGTCCCATGCAGCGTCCCTGTCTACGATCTCCCCGTTGCCTGCATCCCGGGTAGAGCGTCAGGTCTGTCCCCTCTGTCATGCTGGTTCTTTTTCAAAGTGGTTTCTGATTCTGTGTCTTAACTGCTTCTAAGCTAACTTCGGGTCTGTTGCATTCCGGTGTGCTTGTTCCTCAAGGGATGTTGAACGTCCGCCACGTGTTGGGCATTCTTGGTGCTGTGAACACAACAGAAAAGTAACTGTGGTTTTACTCTAGTGGAAGGAGACGGGTGATAACAACACTTAATCGTGTACGTAGGGTGGGGAAAGTCTACAGAGAAAAACCGGGGCAGGCAGAGGGAGAGTTTGGGAGTTGAGGTTGTTACTGGGGTGGCCAGGGAAGGCCTGTCTGAGAAGTTGGCTTCCAAAGGCCTCAGGAGCCAGGAGAGGAGATGCAGCCCAGATAACGGTGTGTGCAAACGTCCTGTGGTGAGAGCCCCTCGGGACAGAGGGTGGTCGTTGCCTCCCTGAAAAGCCCTGTCTTGTCTGAAGGAGGTGCCGGGATCCCAGCTGGGGCAGGTTGGAGGAGAGTGGGCAGTGGATGAGGGACCAGGAGTCCGTTCTTTCCAGAAGCGTGCACCACAGGAGAGGGGAGGGGCAGGGTGGTAGCTGGCAAGACCAGTGGGGCGAGAAGGAAGGTGTTTCCTCAAGAGCTGACGAGAGAGGTGTGGCAGGGAGGAACAGTGTTGCTGATGCAGGAGGGGGGACGCGGCTGGGGAGCTGTCCCGGTGTCCCGAGGAGGTGAGAGCAGGTGGCGAAGCGAGAGGTCGGCTTTATCGGGAGCCCAGCTAGTGTGTCCAGCAGAGTGCACGGCACAGACGCGGGCCTGGGTGGCGTGGGGTCGGGGCCGTGACCGTCCTCGGTGAAGCAGGAAGCGGAGTCACCGGGCCGAGCGACGACGCACAGCAGGCGTTGGGTGCTTGAGGGGAGCTGGTGACAGCGGGACGGGTCGGGGAACGAGGCGGGCGGCCCGGCACCGGGGACGCCCTGGAGGCGGGGTCGTGCCGCTGCGCACGCACATGTGTGGGGCAGGGAGCCAAGCGAGCCCGGCAGGGAGAGGGGGGCAGGGGAGCCGAGAAGCGGCAAGGGGAGGCGGAGGCTGCGGGAGCGAGCTGCTGTCCCCGTCCCGCGATCCGCTGGCAGACGGGACTCCGCGTCGGGCGGACCCGGGGCTGCGGTCGACTGCAGCCGGAGAATGGAGGAAACCAGGCCCAGGCTTCCAGAATCCTCTCCCAGTGGACCCCCCCCCCC